TTTTTTTTTTTTGACAACTCTAGCCTCTGTGTTTCCTGAACTCTTTTCCCTGCCTTTAGTTTTTTGAGAAGTGTTTCTCCATGTGGTTTTGGTGCCTCCTGCATCTCGCTCTGTAGACCAGGCTGGCCTCGAACTCACAGAGATCTGCCTGGCTCTGCCTCCTGAGTGTTGGGATTAAAGGCATGCACCACCACCATCTGGCATGTTTTCTGAACTCTTTATCCTCCATTATTTGGGAAGAAATTGTGTTTGCAGTTTGGTTCATAAATGCCCACTTCATTGCTCTGATAATACAGTAAACAGTGGGATTTTAGACCCATAGTGTGTGTGTCTAAATTAATCCTAGTCCTGGCTTTGGCTGTAATTCAGGGGTGGACTGTAAACATATCAGAATTTCAGGCCTGAAGTATTATATTAAACCAATTTTGTTTAATGTGGTTTTTTTTAATCCTGCTTATGGGGAGTTGAACATTGGTCATTTTTGCATGCAATAATTGATATTTTCAACTGATGAAATTTTTCCTGTGTTTTGATTATGGCATCAGTAGAATGGTAGTTAAACATATTCAGATAGGATTTGCCAATTATTGGATGCCTAGAGTATTACTAATTCCTTTGTGTGTCATATTCAAACCCTACTGCAGTCTTGTTTGGCAATACCCTACCTTCCTAATAGTCACTACTAGTATGATTCCCAGATTACACAAAAGAAAATTGGTGCAGAGAGAGGATGGGTAAAGTTATGTGGATTGGAAATGGAAGTGGTAGGCTGAGAATTTGAACTTACTGACTTCTAAATCTTCTTTGTTAGTCATTTTTAATATAGTCTCTGTGTTAGATTATATAACTTAAATGGTAGATCACGTGGCTCATGTACCAAACCTGACTCGTATAGGGATGGCTACCAGTTTTGAAATGTTTTTACTATTTTGTATGTTTATAAAAATCAAAAGAAAAACATAGGGTGACATGTAAAAATTATGTAACATTCAGGTTCCTGTGTCCCTAAATAACGTTTAATGGAACCCACCCATCTCTATTTGCTTATATGGTACCTCTGTGCTGCAGTGCTCAGTAAGCCAGCTAAGGAGGCAGGTACTCAGTTGCAGAAGTAAGGAGTTGTGATAGCACATGTTCCCTGAACCGAGCATCCTTCCTCTTCCTGGGAGTGTGCCCGCTCACGAAGTAGTGCTGCTGGCCATTAGTCATTTGGTCTTTGCATTGCTCTTACAACAAATGAGGAAACTTTCCTTTGGGGGCAATACATTTCTTTTTTGAAAAAGACATTTTAAATTGAGTTTTAGATTGTCTACAAGTCTTAGGTTATCACTCAAGGAACTGCAACAAAAATTTTAGAAAATATTGAGGCTCGTGTGTGGAAGAAGACATCTGTACCCGACCCAGGGTGCCTTCCTTGTCACCTGCCTCACTGCTACCGTGGTTGGTTTTGAACCCCTTGCCAGTTTTGCTAGGCTGGTGGGCCAGCATGGCTCCAGCCCTTCCTGTCTCTGCTTCCACCATTTCAGAGTACAGACACAAATGTCACACCTGGCTCTCACATGAGTCCTGGGCAGCTGGAGTCCCAGCCTCCTGCTTATGTAGCAAGAGCTGTACCCAGTGAGCTCTCTGTCCAGATCTGAATTCCCTCTTTAGCCTGGATAGTATTTATTACATTGTGGGTATACACGTTTTCCTTATCCACTCGTTCATTGTGGACACTTAGATTGACTCTTGGCATTTTGAATAGTGCTTCAGCGAACATGAGGGTACACATTTGTAGTTGCTAATTGGAACTCTGTAATTACGAGTGCACATTCCAAGGAAGCATGCTGAGTTAGTTTTGTATTGATGTAATGCCCCCCAAGTCAGGTAGTTATGGAAGAGCCCATCTACTTTTGTGTCTGAGGTGTGCACAAGTTCCGGCTGTGCCAGCAGGCGTTGTTGTGATCTGGTCCAGGAGCTCTCCCTTCTGTTGTGCTGATTTGATCCTTAGGTTTTCAGGCAAAAGGTAACACTGTCCCAGAGTGTGACCGGGTTTCTTAGGGTGGCTGGGAGGCAGATGAGCATTCAGAGCTTGACCAAGTTCTTCTTCCCTTGCTTCTTAAAGCCATCTCTCCAGTTCCCTGCTGCAGATCAGTTTCCCTCCTTCATTCCCCTCTCACCTCCTCCTCACCTCCTACCCACCCAACACCACACCTTCTTTCTCTTTCTTTAGAAAACAAACAAGCAAATAAAAAACAAACCAGAATTTTTTTAAAAAAAGAAAAAGCATAAGAAACATATACAGAGACATGTGTGTATGTGTGCACACACAAACACACTTCCCATAAAAACACAAACCTGGAAGCAATAATGTACAAGCAAAGACCAATAAGATAAAAACAGTACCCAAAGCATTATGAAACAACCACAACAAAATCTACAAAAACACTGAGTTCATTTTCTGTTGGCCTTCTACTGCTGAGCACGAGATCTGCCCTTCAGTGTGGTTTATATGCCCAGTGAAACTCCATTGGAAAAAACTTATTTTTTTCATTGCAAGCACTTGTCAGTTGGAAATAGCTTCTTGGTTGGGGATGGGAGTTTGTGGTGGTATTGTGTTCCCCAAAATATTGTGCACCCTAATAAACTTATCTGGGGTCAGAAAAAGAATAACCACTAGATACAAAGGCTAAAAAATGGTGGCACTCACACCTTTAATCCTAGCATTCCAGAGGTAGAAATCCCTCTGGATCTCTGTGAGTTCAAGGCCACATTGGAAAAGGCCAGGCATGGTGACACACACACCACACCAGGGAGTGGTGGTAGAAAGCAGAAAGGTATATAAGGCGTGAGGACCAGAAACTAGAAGCTTTGGGCTAGTGGCATTTGGCTGGTTAAGCTTTTAGGTTTTGAGCAGCACAGTTCAGCTGAGAGCCATTGGGATGAGGACACAGAAGCTTCCAGTCTGAGGAAACAAGACCAGCTGAGAAGTTGGCCAGGTGAGGTTAGCCATGGCTTGTTCTATCTCTCTGACCGTCCAGCATTTCACCCCAATACCTGGCCCGGGTTTGATTTTATTAATAAGAACTTTTAAGATTCATGCTACAGGAGTTGGCTTGAGTTCTTTCTAAACTACATCTCCTGGTTGGAAGTTATTAGCTGACAATGGGAGAAAACAAAACAACACCAACAACCCACTGCCTTTCTTTATTTAAAACTTATTATTATTATTATTATTATTATTTTCATTGTCTCAGGATTTTCTTTTGTCTTCCTCTTTCTGATTCTGTTCTAATGAATACAATCTTGACCTTGAAGTTCCACGTGTCCCAGTCACTAGTGTGACACAGCAGGAGAGGCGCCGAGTGGGTAAGAGGATTATTGGTGCCTGGGCTGAGGTGGAACACTAAACAGCAGATGCACCTGGGAGACACCTAAACTAGAAACCTAAACCTTTACAAAAAACGAAAAGCACTTACTAGTCTGCTTGCCAGTGTCCTTGTGGAGCCTCTGCAGTGAACACAACACTGAGAAGGAGAACCTTCCTACCCCCAAAGCAATTAACAAAAGGGGAAAGACACAATAACAGAGAACAAAATTCATGAGATGTTTGGTCCTTTAACTTTCCTCTAAGTGAAGGTTTTACTAAGTACCCATGCTGGCTTCCACCTCTTCATCCTGCTCCGGTGTCCCTAGTCCTGGGATTACATGAGTATGCCGCTGTGCCCTGCTTGGCCTTTAATCCTTTAAATTGTCGGTTGAGAAATACAGTCTATATCCTTGGCTATATGTCCTCAAATGATGTCCTCCAAATGAAGACTATATTTGATAAATTAGTGCTTTTTAGTGTCTGCCTTTGTGAAGACCCTGAGTATAATTCTTGTTTTGCTTCATATGTAATGGGAGTGAAATGATGACTGATGGATGACTTCTCTTTAAAAAATGCAATATAATTAGATATGAAAAGCTACTGAGTCTGCTGGTGATTCTTCTTAATAACAAAAAATGGGCAATGGGCTACTGAATAACAACTTTTAACAGTCCCTCAGAGAGCTGAGCAAATGAGGAAACCTCTGTGAGCCCGTTCAGGAAGTGGGAGTCTTTTAAAAGAGAAGGCAGGTCTTGGACTACTGCATCTTGTGTGGCGCTGTATGACCAGATGGCTCCCAGCGAGGTTCTGATGAACTTGTTAGGACTGTGTTTAGGCTCATGGGACAGATTAGAAGTAGAAGAGCCCAGCCCTCAGAGTGGGGCAGCAGTATCTACCCAGTGCTCCCCTCTTTTCCTCCCTACCTCTCCTCACCTCCTCTTTCCTTTCTCCTTTTCCTTCTCTGTCTTTTTTTATCTTTGTTGTTTTTCTGTTGCTTTGATAAAACACCACCACCAAGGCAAGTTACAGAAGGAAGGGCTTATTTGAACTTGTGGGCCTTGTAGCACATGGGGCTATGACCCCTAGCTCAGTGGGTACTTGAGTTTGAAAGATGTCTCCTTAGTGATGTGAATAAGGGACTGGCCATTGATTCAAACTAATATTGCAACTAATCCAGGTCCTGCTCAGTGACTATTACTATATCTCCAGAAGTTTGACAGCAAGAGCAGTGGATAGATGTGCTCAGTCAATAGATAGCAGAGAACCTTGATGGCAGGTGTGGCAGTAGTCACTGGAAGCTGAGGGCTCGCATCTTGAAGCACAGACGTGAAGCAGAGAGTGAACTAGAAACAGCCCAGGTCTTTTATATTCTCAAAGCCCACCTCCAGTGACATACTTCCTCCAGCAGGGCCATACCTCCCCAGCCTCTGCAAACTGCGCCACCAGCTGGGGACCAAGTATTCAGATGCCTGAGAGACTATGGTAGACACTTATCATTCTAACCTCCACACAGGGTAATGCTATGTAACTGGCTGTACTATGTAAGGCAGGTAAAGCCACAAACTCATGGTGATACTCTTGCCTCAGCCTCATGGACTGAGATTACAGGCATCAGCCACCATACCCACGCTGTCACTTCCTATTTAAGGGGTTTGATTCACTGTGTGAAGAATGCGACCAGAGAAGGACACAGAGACAACCCAAATGGATTTCTTCCAACACTAAGAAGGTGAGGTGGTACAAGCAAGTGAGGGTGGTTTTTTGTTGGTTTTTATGTTTCTCTGAGGCTGCTGGTCTCAAGCAATGGAACTGAGCATCTTGCATTTGCTACACTCAGTTCCTTCCCCAAAGTTGCTTCTCTGCAATGAACTCTTAAGACTTTGTATCAAATGGGGCTGTGACCCCTCGCTTAGTGGGTACTTGAGTTTGAAAGATGTCTTCTTAGTGATGTGAATAAGGGACTGGTCATTGATTCAAACTAAAATTGCAACTAATCCAGGTCCTGCTTAGTGACCATTACTATTTTTTAGAAGTTTGACAGCAAGAACAGTAGATAGTTGTCCTCTTTTCTCTAGGTAAATATTGAATTCAGATTCCTTTTCTTTTATGCAAGTTTCCTGGCATATAATGCAAGAATATCTGACATGCTAAAAAGACTTGGAGCTCATTATTTATAACATAGACAGACAAGAGATGACCCAGATAGTGAAATGACCAGATGGTGCGTTCAGTGTAGCTGTTACAAAAAGACCAACGGATCCAATACAAAGATGGACAATGGTGTAAGAGATGGAGCATTTCAGCAGCAGTATGTTGCTATAAAAATAGCATTGCTAGAAAGTACATTAGATGGGATTCATTAGATGAGCTTGTTAATAATAGACCAGACACAGAAGGAAAGATGAGGGAGAGTAAGGCCTGCTGCCGGAGGCTTGGAACAGAGACTGGATCAGAAGGAGCGAGTGGAAAAATAGAGCAGTGTTTGCCATCATCAGTTTAGGCCAAATGGTCTAATGCTGGAGCTGAAGAAGGGAAAGAGGGGCAGTGAGGCCAGAGGACATCTCAGCAGTGAACTGGTGTGTTCTAGCTTCAGGCTGCAGCTTCACCTCTGTCTCTGTATATAAGTATATGATTATATTTATTCATATCATAGTCAATTATAAGAGGGAAGACAACCATTATGTGTAAGGGAGAAATTGTATGTATTATAGCTGACCTCTCACTGGAAACAATGAAAGTCAGAAGAGAGTGTGCTGTAAAACCCATCTTAACATTGCAGTTTATTTAGTGAACTTATCTTATTCCTGTGTTGTTTGTTTTTTGGTCTCCGGTCTTTTGGGGCACCTGCCACCCAGCTCCCAAATAAATCACACACGGAGGCTTATTCTTAATTATAAATGCCAGCCTTAGCTTGGCTTGTTTATTGCCAGCTTTTCTTAACTTTAAATTTTGCCTCTGGGCTTTTTCCTTTTCTTACTTCTGTATACCTTTTTTTCTCTCACTCCATTGCTGGTTATTTAGCTGGGTGTCTGTGTGACTGGCCCCTGAAGTCCTTCTCCTTCCTCTCTCATTCCTTCTTTTTTTCTCCCAGTTTTCTCCTTCTATATATTCTCTCTGCCTGCCAGCCTCGCCTATCCTTTCTCCTGCCTTGCTATTGGTCATTTAGATCTTTATTAGACCATCAGTTGTTTTAAACAGGCACAGTAACACAGCTTCATAGAGTTAAACAAATGCAATATAAACAAAAGTAACACACTTTAAAATAATACTCTACAACATTCCTGTCATCAAGAAACAGAATGAGCATTGATGGGGATGTGGAGACATTGGAAGTTTGATATTCTCAAAGCACTATTATAGTGAATACACAGATCCCCAAAGGAATTACTTCCTCCTGATCCCTGCATCAGTCCTCAGCCCCAACCTTTTTGTTTGTTCTTTTTTCTTCACAGATTTCTCTGACTCCTCACTCACTGGAATGATGGATTTTGATTGGCTAATCTTGGTGGAAAAATTAGTCTCCTGATGAGCCATGAGAACTTAACACATTCTGTCTCCTCCTCCTTCTAGAGTGGTCAGCAGTTTTGTCTGGTTTCCTTATTTGTTTATTGGGCAGTGAGTGAACCCAGAATCTTGTGCATGAGCTATATCCCCAGCCTTAGTCACTATGGAAAATAGTTGCTCAAAAAGTTGAACAGGACGGATGAGGATGCTAGAGGGATAGCTTAGTAGTTTAGAACATTCACTGGTCTTGAGTAGGACCTGGGTTTTGTTCCCAGTATCCACATGACAGTTCACAACTGTTTCCAACTCAAGTTCAAGAAGAACTGATACCCCCTGCTGAGTTCTCCCAGGTCTTGCATGCATGTGGTGCAGGTAAACTCAGGCAGGTATACACATTCATATAAAAAAACAAATAAATATTTTTGAAAGTTAAACATGGGATTACAATTCCATTTCTAAATATATGCTTAAGAGAGTTGAACACAGATATTGAAACTAGTACATGTGCACACATGTTCCAAGCATTCCCACTCACAAGTGAAAAGATGTGAACAGACCATACACCTCTTTGGGAAAACACATGTGCAACATCTGCAGGAATTTCCATGTGATGATCTTTAATTTAAAACTTTTATATCAACCAGGCAGTAGTGGCGCACACCTTTAATCCCAGCACTGAGGAGAAGAGGCAGGTGGATCTCTGTGAGTTCAAGACCAGCCTGGTCTACAGAGTGAATTCCAGGACAGCCAAGGCTACACATAGAAAACCTGTCTTGAACCACCCCCCTAAACTTTTTATTTTGTTTTTTTCTTTGATTCTTTTTTTTTTTTAAGATTTATTTATTTATTATGTATACAGTGTTCTGTTTGCATGTGTCCCTGCAGGCCAGAAGAGGGCACCAGATTTCATTATAGATGGTTGTGAGCCACCATGTGGTTGCTGGGAATTGAACTCAGGACCTTTGGAAGAGCAAGCAGTGCTCTTAACCTCTGAGCCATCTCTCTAGCACCTTTTTAATTCTTTTTGGTGAGGTTATTCTAACCTGATGGAGACAGTTTCTTAAGTGGGTAATGCTAGAGAGTAGGTGAAGTTGATAAAGTGCTTGATTGCACATATAGGATTTACACAACATGGCTACTCTTGAGTATTCTGTGTTCCTCAGTTCATTGTTACTGTAAGGAAAGTAGAAGAACCGACTGCTTTATTATGCCCCTTCATTGTTTTCAAAACAAAAGCTTGGTTATGCTGAGTCTAGACAAGTTAATTCATAATAATTATATTTTTTTCAAAAAGCAAAACCACACAGAACAAAGTCCCTCAGCACTGCTGTGGCACCAGGAAGGTATTCCTCAAAAGGGGGGTGGAAATGCACCTCACACTTTTGGGTCGTTTCCAGATAGTGTCTTGGGGAAAGGAGGTGTGACTATGCCAAGCACAGATGAAGTTTCTGTGATACTGCCAGAGCAAGAGCAGCCCTCATCCCAACTGTGGACTCTGAGTGACAGTGCTGTGTCCTTCCGGGCTAAGTCAGTTGATGTGGGGAGTCCGCATGTGGAGAAAGAGGAATATGGTCATCTATTTCTACCTGACTGTGATGATGATGATGATGATGATGATGATGATGATGATGATGATGATGATTAGGGATTTTGGTTACACATTTAGGGAAACACTGTAGCACTTGAACTGTATCTGGGTGTTAAGTAGGAGGGGAGCTTGTTACAGCCACCTTCTTTGCTCTGATTTACCCAGGGGCATCATCTTGTGCAGCTGGCATAGACTTAAGAAAGCAAGAAAAATGATGTAACATTTTACAGCCTAGCTCTTAGTGCCCCGAGCACTGTTATTTTACAGTGACGTCTTTTTAAAATCATCAGACTTTCCCTTTATACATTTGTGGCTTAATATAGTTTTTCAGGGTATAAAGATACTTGACTTTAGCAAGTGGGCTGTGTTTCTTTTAATAAGTGTCCTTAATATGCAAACATCAGAGGACAACGCAGCATCCTCAACTTGGTGACTGGGCATGAGTCCTCAGCACCTTCAGTTAGAACCAAGTCATCCTGAATCTCTCTTAATACTTAAGGTCTAATCCCTGTTGAAATGAAAATCATCTATTCTTCATTCTTCCAAGAAAAAAAAAATCAACATCTGTAAAAGATTGAGTTATTTTTGAGTGCATTCCTTTTAAAAAGGGATGCGCTGATATTAACAGTATTTCCTATACATCACGGAGTCGTTGTCAGCATTGACTTTCTCAGGCAATCTTCCTTGCCACATCCCTGCAGATTTCATGGCTGCTTTGCTGAAGAAGTGCGTAAGATATTTGGCTCTCAGCCTGTCCTTCTGAGGATAGCTGTCTTCATCTTTTTCTCCATTCTTCAGGCTCCAGGCTTTACTGTTCCTCCAGGGCAGGCTGTTTCTTCAAAGAACGTCATGAGATTGGGCTTGTTTACAGAAGTCTGTCTGCAGGAAATAACATTGGATTATTAAAACATTGTTTTAATGGTTCATTATGGATAAAAATGTGTGCCCATAGCCATTTGGAAAGTTGACTCCTCCCCCATGCCTGTGTGAGGGCCTCTGGCCGTGGAAGAGGACTGGCCTTTGTGGGCAGTGACTGTGGCTGCAGATGTTCTTGCACTTTATTGGAATTGGTGCAGTGCAGGAGGGAGGGAGTCTTGGTAGCAGGGTCTTTTCTAGTCCAGAGCCTTCCCTCCAACTGCTGGGGAGGCTGAGAACAGACTAGTCACCTGGACGGATGTCCAGTCTTAGTCCCTTCCAGTGGGGGAGCCTTTTCTTTCCCACCATAGCATGTCCTCCAGGGCCTTGCTAGGAGAAGTGCTGGGTATTTTAGTGAGGCTGTCGTACACTCTGCAGCCGCGAGGGAGGTGTCCATTGGAGCGGCCTCATTGTTCTCACCCTTTGTGCTGCTGCTGCTCACGCCTAGCCAGCCACAGACGGTGCTCCTGCTGCCGAGCTTGAGTCATGGTGAGGAGTTGGTTGAAACCCAGGAAGTTACGACTAAGCTTTAGGAAGTTTAGGTATTGTTTCCTGTAGTGGCTGAAGATACCAGTCATGGGTGATAGCAGGTAAATTTAGAATCAGTATGAAGTAGTCTAGTTTCATATGTATGTGAATACAGATGTATAGATGCAGTTAGGCATGGTGTCTGTGGTGACTGATTTAGAAGGTAACCTCTAGCTTGAATTTTTAAGAGTAACCATTCATTTCTTTGACATAAAGTCAACAGTGAAACGTGTGGATGGGTGGGTGGGGGTGTCTTATCAAGATCTGATTTAATTTATTTATTTAATTTCACACTATTAAAAACTATTTTAAACGGGATGGGAAACTCATTGTGCATGTGGAACTTGGCTGTCGAGGTTGTTTTTTCTCATTAGAATCTTCATAACATGAGGTGCTTTTTCACACTCTCCTGTTTTCCTCCACTGCCTCCCTCCACTGGGAGGAGCTGTCACTTTGCCAGATGATCTGTTCCCTGTGTCTTCTGTGGAGCAAACTCTGTATCTTGTTCTCACTTGAGGTGGATGAATGAACACACCACTACCCCTTCCAGCAGCCTGGCACATGCCTTCACTGTATCTACTGGAAATGAAGAGAATTTTCCATCTTTATTTTCTTTTAAATAGCCATTTCATTCTTGCCTATAGAAATCAGCTGTCAATAAATTCAGGACAGTCTACAGTGTTATTAGGTAGACTGTAATTTAAAACTGATATTGAGTCTTATATAGACAGGGCTTGGCAAATGAATTTGGTATTTTACTCCTAGAAATCTGGGCACCAAGTAAGCAGAAGCTGGCTAGGAGATTTTGTAAATCCTATTTGCATTTTGACTACTCATCCTTAAATCGTAAGGTGGGATTACTGTGATTATTAATGTGTTTTCAGATCAGTCTATCTAAATAGTGCCTTTAACCAATTGTCCCCTTGTACCTTGTCAGGAAAGTGGGTTTTGAAGTCAATTTCGTCTCACAGCTATATTTACTTACCAGATAATTCTAACCTGTAATGTAATTCTAGTATTACCCTCTTGAGGAAATGTTCAAGAGTTTTAATGAAGGGTTTGCTTTTCTAGGGTGGGATGCCAAAAGCCTAACTGGGCATCCCAGTTTACCACATGAATACATACAATTACTTCACATATAGATAATGCTTTCTATACTTAAAATTCTCCCCTGATTTTTTTAAATTTATTTGAAGAAAAAATGTAGTTTTGGGTTTTGCTGTCTCTGTAGTTTCCAGTTGTATCTTCTGATGCTCTCACATGGGAAGAACTCTTCCTTTGGTATGTGCGTGTCTTAAGAGCACTGGCCAGAGGAAAAGCGCACAGGAGAAGTGCCCGCTGCCTTCCTGTGACGCTGTCGTCGCCATACAGTGACCTTAGCACTTCCGTGACATCTTTCTGTCAGTGGCTGCAGCAACAAGGTGCCTTCTTCAGCTGCTCCGAGCAGATCCGGGAAGGAAGAGGAGAAAAGGCGAGTTTCTCTGCAGAGTAGCAGACCAGCCACCACAGTATTGTCCAGAGTGTGTGCTCAGTACTGTCCTGCATACAGCATGCCTGCTGGACTTCCCAGTAGTCTGCCATAGTTCCTTTTTGAAATCAGATTTACTTCTGCAGACACCTGAAGCATAAAAAATAGATTTAAAAGCCAACAACAAAATATTCGCATACAGACCATTTGAGGATGAGGAAGACAGACATGCGTTGTCAAAGGTCGCTAGATTCTTGTGTTTCAATGCTTTTTCTCTCAGGCCTTCTAGCATGATTTTTTACTATTTTTATTCTTGTCTTTTAAATATCTATCTCATGGTTGGGTTAAAGGTATAGAACAACTCCTCGCATTCCCAAGGGGATCATCATTTGTGCTGTAGGAATGATGTGTTTCTCTAGAAGTATATTATATTAAATATGTGTATGCTCAAAGTACCAACTTCTGCTCCCTTGTAGGTCCAAGCAAGGTTTGTATTTTTTTTCAGTCTTATACATGATCAAATTGGTGTACAAATAGTGATTTACATGGAATCCTAAGTTAGTACAGTACTGTTGAAAAAGGAGAAATTACCTGTTCTATTAGAAGATTATCCTAAGTTGTTTCCAGTGATTAGTATTTAAGTTCATAGACTAGTTAGAACTAGTTCCCTGCTGCTCTTAGAAAAAGTAAAAGCAGTGTTAGTGTTCAGGGGAGAGGGACATGCTGAGGTTCAGAAACTAACAGTGGGTTCTGGAACAGACGGGGAGGGAGGAAGAGCTAACACTGAGCTTCCTGCTGGGAGGAAACGGTAGAGATACACCCAGTCCTCTTTTCTCTGCCCACTACTGGCCAGCAGCTGGAACATGACACGGTTCTGGACTACAGGCCAGCTCTTCCACACAGACCCATGCGCCCTTCCCAACCCTTCTTCTCTGTATTTTCTTCGCCTTTGAAGTCTTCTTTTCTATACTCACTCTCCATTCATTTGCAGTGGTCAAGTGGACCTGAAGATTGGAAAATTGACAAGGTTGTGTTTACTCTGTTGTGATGTGTGATATTGAGAAATACACCTGGAGAGAGAAGTGCAGACTGACTGGCTTCTGAGAGGGTCCTGCCCCCCTCCCCCAGCTGGTTCCCTGGCCTGCCTGCCTTTGGTCACTGCCTTCGTGACCATGATGATCAGTGAGGCCTTTGGAGACTTGGCTTACACGGGATTCATGATTACGTGATTCATACAGCTCTTTTCCTAAATCAAGACATTTATTGAGGGACCAGAAGAGCAGAATGCTATAAGTTTATATGCATTGGTTTATATTTGACAGTTAGAACACTGAGCTATGAACAAATACCTAAATATTAAAATGTAAACACTCAATGGTTTCCTGCTGGTGATGGCTGCTTGTTATTCCTTCTAGGAGCGAAAAGAGAGGCTATCCAAATTTGAATCTATTCGTCATTCAATTGCTGGAATAATTAGGTCTCCAAAATCGGCTCTGGGCTCATCAACAGTAAGTCATCACAGTCTCTCTTCTTTCAGGGTGTGTATGTTTATGCTCACAAACAGCAAAACCAGAGCAGATTCAACTCTCTCTGTGCATTGGACTCTGTTTACATTTGAATATAGTAGACCCCCAAGTACAATTTTTATGACAAGGATGGAAATAGCGTTTTTGCAATGGACCTTCCTTATTGTCTGTGGACATTGGATGCTGGAAACTGGGTACTGTTGAACCGTTTCTACAAGCATTTTCTATACATCATCCACTGTCATAGTTTACTAGGCATAGTAAGATGCTAGCTATAGGAAATATTTGTACAAGCAAAAGAATTCCCACAGCATAGTATGATCAAGGCTGTGTGAAGGCTTTTTCAAAATATACCTCTAACTTCTAATGAAGATGTGGGATGATGTGAGGCCATGCTGGGGTATACTAACTGAAATTGCTGGGGTAAACATGGGTAAAAGGAACCAGCATGGTAGAGATTTCTTGTGCTGCGTGTATATAATTACAGGGCTTTTCATGTGTTTGAGACCTCACTAGAGGAACAGAATAAACACTGTGTCTAGGGCAACAACACTTTTATAATAGCTATTACTGTGTGTGGGTTCTTAAAATGTGTTAGTTGTGAAGAACATTTAATAATAATAAAAGTAATCTGTTTGATAGATTAATCATTGAAATTTCAGTTTGGTGTGTCATGGTGGAGCATAGTACAGTTCTGTCTTTAACATGTGTGTTCAAGCATGAAATGTCCTGAACAACCACTTGGAGTGTGCTCTAGTGTTACCTGCTGTCTGCCCACTCTGTCCGACTCGGCTCTGGAGTTTGAATGTGAATGAGGTTGTTGCACCATAGGCCTGGGAGTCCAAAGGGAGTATGTATTTAGAGATGACTTAGTCAGAGTTTAAAATTTTTTGATTATGTTAAATGTTTTTTCTTATACAGGAAAGCCCTTGCCACATTAGCACACGGTTTGTTTTCTTGTGATGGACTCAATAGAACATAAAATTCATGTTTTTATATGTTCACCAAGAGGTTTCAGAGTTTTCACTGTGTTGTGCAACCATAATTACCACAGGATGCTGGAATGGTTTAGCCCCCCGAAACGGTACTCCACGCCTATTAGAAGATAGCCTCAGTCTTCACTCATCTCCTGATACCTCACATCCTTGTGACTGTGCCTCTTGCAGGGCCTTTCACATGCACAGAGTCACACAGCAATAGGCTTTGAGGTTTAGTTTCATTCTATTACTATAATATTTTTAAGGTTCATTCATGTTGTACCATGTGGTAATCTTTAATTCTTTTTAAGACTGATTACTATTTCATTGCTTAGATTTATATACTGTTTGTCTCTTCATCATCTGATAAAAATCTTAGTTTTATCATCATATGATAAACTCTACTTTGGGACTTGTATGAAGAATGTTACCATGGAAATTTTTCATTTTTCTGTGAATATGAGTTAATTTTTCTTTGCTATATACCTAACAGTAGAATTACTGAGGCATACAGGAATTCTAAATTCAAGATTTTAAGAGTCTGCTTTCCACATTGGCGGCAATATTTGCATTTCTAATAACAATGTATGTCTGAAAGTTACTATTTCCTTACAAAATTAACAATGCTTACTGTTTTCCTGGTTTTATTTTATTTTATTTTTATTGTTTTAATTGCAGGCATCTAGTGACTGTGGTTTGTCATTGTCCTTTTAATTTGATTTTTTTATTTAAAAAATTTTATTTTTATTTTTATTTAATGTGCATTAGTGTTTTGCCTGCATGTATAGCTGTATGAGGGTATGGGGTCCCCTAGAACTGGAGTTAAAGACAGCTGCTATGTGGGTGGTGGGAATTGAACCTGGGTTCTGTGGAAGAGCAGTGAGTGTTCTTAACTGATGAGCCATCTCTCCAGCCTCTCCCTTTTAAAATAATTTATTTATTCTTATTTTATATGAATTGGTGTTTTGCCTTCATGTATGTTTGTGTGAGCGTGTCAAATCCCCTGCAACTGGAGTAACAGACAGTTGTGAGCTGCCATGTGGGTGCTGGGAATTGAACTGGGTCCTCCAGAAGAACAGCCAGTGCTCTTAACCTCTGAGCCATCTCTCCAGCCCCTTGAATTTTTCTAATGACTAATTAGTATTTTTCATGTGCTAATTGGCTATTTATGTATTCTTTAGAGATAATTATATTTAACAGTCTTTGCATGCTTAAAATTTTTTGTCTGCTTTTTTGACAGTCTGCAGATTGAACCCAGGTTTGCATGTATGCATACTAAGCACCCTATCAGTGAACTCTACCCTCAGCTGTAAGCTTGGTTTTTGTAGGTGTTGAGTTGCATGAGCTTTAAATTGTTTTGGGGAAACAAGTTCCTTTAGCATACATGTAATATACAAATGTTTTTTCTTAGCCTATAAGTTTGCCATTTTTTCGTTTTTTCTTGATAGTGTCACACAGTTTTTAATTTTGATGAACACTTTTTCCTTTTTGTGACGTTGATGTCATATGTGGAAAGCACTGCCCATCTCAGATGATGCTGGCAAATGCTCACCTTTGTCTCCTTCTCAGACCCTCACATATGCCTTGAGACATGGAGTTGCTTTTCTGTGTGGAGTCGGGAAGAGGTCTGAATTCATTTTTCTCCTTTTGAAAGCATATTTGTTTACAATATTTAGAAATCAGCAATTATGAATCACTGTTTCTTTATTTAAAATTTTTAATGGGGGGGTGGGGGATAGGTTTCAAGACAGGATTTCTCTGTGTAATAGCCCTGGCTGTTTTTAAAATTTAATTTTAAAGTTTAAATTTTTAAAATTGAATTTTAGATAAAATAAAGCAAATATATATAGGGAATGATTAAATTACTCATAATAGTGCTTTTAACTGTCATAGCTGTTAGTCTTCATGTTTTTTTTTTTTTTTTTTTTTTGGTTTTTCGAGACAGGGTTTCTCTGTGTAGCTTTGCACCTTTCCTGGAACTCACTTGGTAGCCCAGCTTGGCCTCGAACTCACAGGGATCCGCCTTGCTCTGCCTCCCGAGTGCTGGGATTAAAGGCGTGCGCCACCAATGCCCGGCCAGTCTTCATGTTTTTAACCGAATGATTAAATTATGAATATGCCTTTAAGAAGGTCCAGTGGGACATTTGGGTCTTGGTGGAAGGAATGACACGAGGTAAAAACTAGCTGAGATGCTAACTGTATATTGTATCTGCTATGTCAGATAGTGCGATCCGTTGTGCTTAGGGTCACATTATCACATCTTTTTTTTTTTTCCCTCCTGGAGCTGAGGACCGAACCCAGGGCCTTGCACTTGCTACTGAGCTGAATCCCCAACCCCAACATTTTAACATCTTATATCATCTCCCAGCAAGTGCTTTTTCAGCATATGAAGGGGGCCAAGGAACACATCACTCATGTCCCAGAGCCTGGGACCAGCTCCACACCCAGTATCTCTCCATCTTCCCAAGGCTGTCATTTTGCACTGTTTGTCAGGCCCTGCTTCTGAAGCCAAAGGCAGAGGTGTTGGGCAGTGTTAGCAGCATTTCCTCCAGCCTCCTGGCAATCATAAGGGCTCATTTGTGTTGGAAAGCTTTCAGACCATACTGAAATTACTGAGAGCTGTTCCAGCCATATCAGGAATAGTGCCCTTTCTCCAAGGCCTCTTTTATATAGACTTGGTCAAATGCGGGACTGAGCAACCCCTTGTTCCATGTCATAGCCACTTGAGAACTGGTAGTATTCCTTTGGTCTATATAATGTCCCTCTATTATAGGACTCTTTGAAAAAAATGTTATTTAAAATCAGATTCTTCCAAGTCTTGGTTCCAATTACTGTTACTTAATCCAAAACATTTTTGTTTAAAGAACAAAAGGTTTAAATTAGTCTACCCTGTTTCTTTAAAACTCATTTACTGTATTGACATGGGTATTATTTTAATTTTAAGAGCCTTTGAGGTGGGCATGATTCCAGCATTTGGGAGGCAGAGCCAGGTGAATCTCTTGAGTTTGAGGCCAGCCTGGTCTACAAAGCAAGTTCCCGGACAGCCAGGACTATTACACAGAGAAACCCCATCTTGAGGGAATGAGGGGGAACCTTTGAATTAGAATTTGAACATAAAATAAATGTGCTTATTTTTATATAGAATCATTTGTTTACATTTTTCTTGAAAGCTATATTATAGCTATGTTTTAGGGGTTTATCAGTTATGATATCAGTATTATGATATGTGCCTCCCACCATCAAAATTGGGGAGTATTGATTGCTCTCATGTACTTTTCAGTGTTCATCTTTGTGTCTAGAAGAGTAATCTTGTTATTCCCTTAACAAGACAAAATTAAATATTATACATTCTAAACATCAGTTGTCTTCTATTATTCTTAAGGTCTTAATTTACTTTTTTCAGTTTTAAAGTGTTAGAAAGTAACAAGAAAATATAACGTTTTGTATTATAGCCATATGCTAATTTCTTCCACATGGTCACATTCAGGAAAATCAAAGTTATCTCTGAGTTGCAAGTTTTGAATTACTTGTGTTGTACATAATTTTCAAGAAGGGCTTATTGGGGTTAATTTTGTACAGTTTTTATTGTCTGAAACCCAATCTGTTCTTTCATGTATAAGTTCAAATGTTTAAAATAAGAAACAGATCTTGTCACACTTCCTGTATTCTACACTGAAGTATGCCTACAAGGTGATTATTAATTACACTGATCTCCTTACATTTTCAGTTGAAATGTGTGATAAGAAATTGCCAGTAACTACTGGTGAAAACTTACTGTCATTGATATTAGGACATATTTTATAAATAAAATATATTTGTTTTCTTAAACACAAAATACAAAGTACAAAACAGTTATTCTCTCAAGATGATCCCCCCCAAACATATTTTATCTTCAAATCTACCAATAACTCCTTCCTTGTTAGTTGACCTCTTTAGTGGTACAGATTAATGAAGGCTATCTTCAGAATTAGTTTTCATTTACTGCCTACTTATCATAAAGTTCCTAATACTAGCCTATAAATCCTCATATTTGTATGTTTGCCTTTTATTTATCTTCTTAGTCAGCTTTCCTTTTCTAGGACAAAGTGCATGAGATAAATGACTATGAGGAGGAAAGGCTAATTTGGGCTCCTTGGTGGAAGGACGTACTCAGCTCTTACCAGCCATGAAGGAGTGTGTGTGTGGGGGGGGTTCTTTCCAAGGACATGCTACCATACTCCAAAATACATACATGCTATCATACCCCAGCAGTACAGGGCAGTTTAGTTCTTGTGGATGAGCAACAGAACTTCCTTGTGGACATAACATGTCTGATTTCATCCACCCCTAAGTTCAGGATTTTCAGGGCCGTGTGGCTAGCTCTTGCTTATCTCCACTCTTTGGGTTGAGCGTGTGTTCTAAAACAGTAGGCGGCTTGCTTTTCTCTCTGTTTCCTAGCTTGTAGTCACCCCCACACTGCTCATTGTTCCTGATGCCCTTGCACCCAGGGCTCCCTCTGCCATGGCTTTGCAAAACCGAGCCCCCGCCTGTGACAGAGCAGTGGCTTTAGCAGAGGTGAGGTAGAGGAGTGAGTGGGAAGAGCTCAGCCAGGCACTCCAGGCGGAAGCCCAGACCCCCTCCTACCTACTGTTAGGTACAGTGCACAGCCTGAGTGGTCTAGAGTTCACTAATTCAATGAATGAAACATGTTTAATGTGTTTGTGATGAATTTCTCTGAAAATGCTTTTTATATTCCTTCTGATTGATGAATATTATTGCATAGATTTATTTTATGATAAGGGCAAAAAGAGTAGGACTGTTAACCTTAAATGCTAATGCTCCTGTGCACGGTAGGAAGTATTGAAAGCTATATATGCATTTGTGCTAAACCTCAGCCCCGGTTCTCCAGGGGATATTTTCTTTAATAATTGTGAAAATGTCAGATTCACCATTTGATTTTTAATTGGCTGATGAAGGCAGAGCATATGTAAGAAGTATTTTTACTTGCAGTGAATTTTATTAGGGCAAAATGAGATTTTATTTTTCTAACTTGGTTTTTAAAACATTTGTGCAGCTCTCTGAAATGACCTCTATGAGTGAGAAGCCCCTGGCGGAGCATGACTGGTACCATGGCGCAATCCCCAGGATAGAGGCCCAAGAGCTACTGAGGCAGCAAGGAGACTTCTTGGTGCGCGAGAGCCATGGGAAACCCGGTGAATATGTCCTTTCTGTGTACTCAGATGGGCAGAGGAGACACTTCATCATACAGTTTGTCGATGTACGTTCCCAGGCTAGTTCACATGTGATTATTGATGGAATCCATTTTGGTATGCTTGAAATGTAATGGTGGATGGTTGATGAGAAATGCTTGACACACAACAAGTTTAACAATTGAATTTTTCAGCTTGGCGGTGGTGGTGCATGCCTTTAACCCCCAACACTCAGGAGGCAGAGGCAGGCAGATTTCTGTGATTTCGAGGCCAGCCTGGGCTACAGAATGAGTTCCAGGAAAGGCTCCAAAGCTACACAGAGAAACCCTGTCTCAAAAAAACATACAAACAAACAATTGAATTTTTCCTCATTTCCATAAATATGATGCTCCAAAATGGATTAAAATATTAAATCTTAACGAAAAAATATCATATTTAAAAAATCAATAAAATTAAATTTAAATGTAAATATCTAAAATGTTGAATTTGAGTATTAACGTATTTTTAAATTAAAACAAAAGTAATGTAAATGCTGTATATTTTCTTCCTGTAGTAAAACTCAAGATTACGAGATGTGTACTTTTGAGGGCACCTCTTGAACTAGTTTCAAACTATCATCTATTTTATTGACTAATGTGAATGAAATTCTTTAATTCAAGGTGGTGAATTTAATGATTCAATATTATTGATCTTTTTCTGTTTTTTTCTATAATACCTATTGGTATTAATAAGCAATAAATAGAAAATGATAAAGAAATATGAACAGCATATTCACATTATTTATCCTAAGGCTAATTTATTTTTTGAGATTTAGAATTGCTGAACTGCTTTCTTTTAAAACGTGGTGTATGGTCACTGTGTGTGTTTGTGATGTGTGTGGGAGGGGCTGGTGCTGCGGCACACATACATGGAGATCAGATGGCAACTCTCAGATGTTATTCCTCTCCTCCTCCCTCTGCATGGGTTGTGGGCAATCAAACTCAGGTCTCCAAGCTTTTGCAGCAAATGCATTTACCCACTGCACCAACACGCAGGCACCGAGTATCACAAACCACTCCCTGTTAATGTTGTCTTTATTAAGCACTAAAGAGCTGAATAGCAATTTTGACTTTCTGCTTTTACTGATTGAGAAATTTATAATGGCAATTTCTTTGGCAGATGGAAGAATTGTTGCCTGTTTTTCTTATTTTCTCTCCATTACTTCAAATGGCTTGCATTTGAAAATGCCTGTCCACAGGATTTAAGTTTCTGTTGAGGCACAAGAATAATATTAATTACCTTACAGAAGGATTAAGCCATGATCAGAAGTGGAACCTATAGGATTTTAGGGATTTAGTAACTTGTATACATATCAGTTTGATCTTAGGGTTGACTGAACCATGAAGTTTAGATTAACAGGCAATGATAAATTCAAAATAAAATGATACATATTTTAAAATAAAACTTTGGTGAAAATCTTCCTATAATGGCATTGTTTATTCTCTTATTAATTCATTCAGGAAATATTTATTTAGTATTATGTGAGGCCTAAACATATGAGTCAGCAACAACAAAAAAATTACAGGTGATACTTAGCATGTGAAATTTAGTAGGTAGATAAATATATAAAAGAGATACTAATAAATCGTAAAGGAAAGATAGACTGTAACATAATAAGAGCAGAATTCAGTACCAGCATTTGTTAGTGACCAGATAATCTAACTAGAAAATCAACAAAAGGAACAAAGGAGTGAGCAATGGACCTAAGACATTTTTAGAGCATTGCATCTAGCAACAGTTGTTTAAACATTCTTCTCAACTGCACACAGAGCATTTTCCATATGTTGGAAACCATATGTTGGGCTACAAAAAAAAAATAGCAACTAAAAAAAAAAAATCAAAATGTCTTTTCTGACCACTGTGGAATAAATCTAGATATGAACAATAGGTAAAACCCTGGAAACAGCATTAGATACATGGAAATCAAATACTCTTGAAGAAACAAATCACTGAAAACATTAAATGAGAAATATAAGATTCATGAGGTAAATAGAAATGGAAGTACATTACACTAAAACTTATAGACTTTGACAAACACCATTCTCAAAGGAAAATTCTCAAAGGAAAACCAGTGCCAACATTCAAAAAGTAATAGCAAGATTTTAGCTAGAGTCCTTGGGGTGCTTCCTAAGGAACTAGAAAAAGAAGAACCAAATCAGTAGAAGGCAATGTTACACGTCAGAGCAGGGGTGCATGAAATACTTGAGAAATACAAAAAGACAAATGTAGTATGATAGCTTTTGGAAAGGATAAACTTAATAAGCCTTTAACTAAATGAAGAACAATGCTCAGTATCAGAGATGAGGGTAAGAGATTGCAGCTGGCACCACCAGAGAACAACGGATTATCTGAAAGGCCTGGGAACAAGTCTAACAACATGTGGAAAGTACCAGAATGCTGGTGAGATCGCTCAGCTGCTCAAGGCACTTGCCACCAAGCCTTTGGATTCACATGCTGGAAAGAATACTGACTCCTGGAAATTGGCCTCTGCCTCACACTGGAACGGTGCCCTTCTCCAAACATGAATAAAAAAAAGAGTCTAGAAGAGCAGATAAATTCTGTGGTATGCAGGTTCCCAAATTTGAATAATATATATGACTCCCCCCCCCCCCGGTTGTTTTAGACAGTCTTACTATGTAACTCAGACTAGCCATGAACTTGGGATTTTTCTGTCTCCGACTCCATAGTGCTGGAATTAGAGCTGTGGCCTACCATACTGGCCTAGAAATCTAAAACATAGACTAATAAAGAGCTCTGAGATTGAATCAGTAATAAATGATTACATTTATTAAAAATGACAATAAAATAATTTTATTAGTAAAATTACTGTTGTATCACCTTTTTCAAAGTAATCAAAGAAAAGCCTAACACTTGATGCATTCTTTATAAGATCTACAAATATTTAAAGAACTAGGACCAGTTTTCTCAAAGTATTTTAAAAAATTGAAAAAGAAGGAATCCTTAAAAACTTATGCATACCTATAACAGAAAAGGAACAATCTCAGAAGAAATTTATAGGCCAATACTGCTTATGAACATAGACATAAAATGTTAAATAAAATGCTAGGAAACTACATTTCATGGCACATTATAAAAGATCATTCACTGTGATCAAATGATTCATTCCTGAGATGCAAGAATGCTTCAGTGAAAAATAGCTGATGTATTAACAGAGTCAAACACAAAAAACATAGGGAAATTTAAATAGGCACTTAGAAAGCATTTTACAAAATTCAAAATTCATTCATGGTATAATACCCTACACAAGACAGGGTGGAAAGACTACTGTAACTCAGGAAAGTCGTTTATGACAAACCCACAGCTATTGCCATACGGAATGGAGAAATAATGGAAAGCATCCTTCTGAAGTCTAGAACAAGACAAGGATGCCCAGTGTCATTGCCTTTTGTTGACATAGTACTATGAGTCCTTGCCAGGCCAATTGGCAGGAGAAAAAAAAAATCAAGGGAATCCAGAATAATGAAGAAAAAAGCAAACTGCCCTTGTTAAAAGGTGAACTGGTCTCATGCACAGTGAATTCTAAAAAGACTTAAGAACAAAAAAACTGTTGGAACTAATAAATTCTATAAAACCAAGGATCCAAAATCAGCATTCAAAACACATTTGCATTTCTGCATGTGCTTGGTCTTAGTTGAAAGGCTGAGACAAAGTGATCATATTTCTATATGCCAAGAAAGCTACTTGACACCCCCCCCAAAATGAAAATAACAATCCCACTTTGAACAGCTATAAACACTAGCTACAAATTTAACAGAGAAGTGAAAGGAAATGAAAACTATAAAACATGGATGAAGGATACTACAAAACATACAAGTAAATACAAAGATACCCTGTATGTATGGAAAAGTCAATATAGTTAAAATGTCCCCATACGATATGCAGACTCCTCAACAAAGAATTACAATAAATAATCTCAAAGTTTGTAAGAGACTATAGATAAACCCGAATAGCCAAAACAATCTTGAGCAAGGAGCTGGAGGCCTCATAACCAGACCCAGAAATGTACAAGGAAGTTGTCATCAAAGGACATTAAAAACAGAAAGAACTGTATTTCAGTGAGCAAAATAGAGAGGCAGAAACCAACCCACACATTGTGACCAGCTGATTTTTGACAGAGCCAAGAATTCACGATGGCTCTGTTAGGGAAGTGGTGTTGGGGAAATTAGATGACCATATGCATAAGAGTGAGACCACTTTCTCTCATCATTACAGATATCAAATAAAAATCTAGTAAAGCTTACACATGAAATCATGACTCATGAAACTACTAGAGGAAACCCGAGGAAATGCTTTAAGATACTGACCTGGGAAGTGGTTTTTTGATACGTCTCCAAATATGGCCAACAAAACCTTGTTTGCTGCATTCACGTCAAACTAGAAAAGCCTCTGCATTGAAAAGAAGCCATCAGCAGAGTAAAGAGGCAGTTTAACAGAGTCAAGAAAGCCTTTGCAAACCGTACAGCTGAAGGGGTTATTTCCACAGTACATAAGGAATTCCAGTAGCTCAATAGCACAAAACCAAATAAACCAATTTAAAAAAAAAATGGTCTGAATAGACTTTAGAGCATTTTTCTATTTTTTTTTATAAAATTAAGAATATAATCACATCACTTTCCCCCTTCCCTTCCCTCCAGACCCTTCCAAGTCTCCTTCCATGTTGCCTCCGTTCTCAAATCGATGGCCTCTTTCCCCCCATTGTCATCATTTTACATGTATATGTCTTTGTGTGTGCACAGATATGTAAACACAACCTGCTAAGTCTTGTTGGTGTCTGTGTGTATATGGTTTGGGGGCTGACCCCTTTCTAATGGACGGCCTTTTCGAGGGCTCGTCCCTGGGAGTGGCTCACCTCCCCCTCAGCACTCACTCATTCCCTGGGGTTCCTTGTCCCGGGGTGTGACCCCATGAGTCTCCCCCTTTCACAGTAGCATTTTTTCAATAGATTTTTTTTTTCTTAGAAGAAATACAAATGGCAACAGACATTCACGAAAGATGTTCAACATCTCTAACCATATAAATTAAAACCACTGAGGCAGCCTCAGTTCCTGTGAGAGTGTCTGTTTTTCAAAAGACAAATGAAGCAAAGGCTGTAAGGAAATGAAGAAACGTCTGTATCTTTGTGGGGAATGTTAATTAGCATAGCCATTGTGGAGCTTCCTCGGAAACCTGAGCACAGAATGACATGATCCAGACACCCCATTCCTTGGATCATATGAGTAAATGAAATGGACCTGTAAAAAAGATGCTTCTCCATTGTTTACCCTGCGCTATTCAGAGTAGTGAGAGTGTGAAATCAACCTAAATGTCCAGTAGCTGGATAAAGAAAAGATGGCGTTGTGTATGCACCATGGCATACTGTTCAGCCACAAAAACCTTTGAAATCCTGCCATAGCTGACAGCATGGATGTACTGGGGTCATGTTATTATGTGAAACAATTCAAGAAGACACTTGCTGTGTGGCAGCCCAGAGTTGAGTCGTCACTACAGAAGCTGAAAGAGAAGGGACAGGGGAAGCACGAGAGGCCAGTCAACAGGCCCAGTGGTCCAGTGTTACTCCTACAAATAGGAGTAAGTCCTGGTTTCCATGGCATGGCCACTAGAACATAAGTAACAATAGTACATTCTGTGTGTCAAAATAGTTAGAATTTTGATGTACTCACCCTAACAAAATGAGCAAAGTTTAGAATGGTGGCTAGGCTACTTCCTGAGTAATTTGTTTCCTGACACAGCCGTGAATGAAAGCCTCACATTGTAGTTCCTATATGCACAAAGCTTTGGGCAATAACATACTTTTTAAAATTGAGAAATGGAGAGAGAAGATATTGATCAAGTATCAAGTTCACTTTGAGGTGATTAAATCTCTGAATTACTTAGCTTTATTGCTGCAGTCTCTAGGCTCTTTAAAGCACATTTTAAATTCATGCTCTGAGACTTAATGTGCAATAAAAAGCCAACACATTTTTTGTATAACAGTTCTGAATTTGTGGCTCATCCTTGTGTAGTTGGAATTTTTTCCCATTATATAGTAATCATGAAGTCATCATTAGGACAGGGCAGTAACTACTCAGGTTTATAGCAGGGTTGATTTCAAGTTTCATTCTGTATGGGCTTCATTACTTATTACTTATTATTAAACATTGTACTTTAATGTCTCATGCTCATGAGTGTGTGGACTTTCCTTTGTCCATTTGTAGACTGTCTTGTCTCCTTTACAACACTTACTGCATTTCGTGTCCTTCACAGATGTCTATTTCTACAGCCTGTATATGCCACAGATTGTACTAAACCATAGGGCTATGATGCTGAGGAGAAAATGAACAAATGTGTTGCCTAATATGTCTGCACTCTACAAGGGAGATAGATAATTTAAAAAAAAAAAAAAAAGAAAGAAAGAAAAGGGAAAATTGGGGCTGGAGAGATGGCTTCCAGAATACCCGAGTTGGATTCTCTCAGCATCCATGCTAAATGTCTCACAACCTATAACTCCAGCTTGAGGGAATCCAACACGCTTTTCTGATCTCTGGGTACACACACACACACACACACACACACACACACACACACACACACACACCTTTAAGAATAAGTAAAATATATGTGGTGATAGAGTCAGAAAGGTAATAGTCATATATTGTAAGGAGAATTATGTCAATAAGGAAAAGGAGGTGAGAAATTAAATTGGGGTGTGAAAGTGGAGATTGTATATTGTGTAGGTGGCCAGAGTTCACAGAAAAGTATTTAAACTTCACAGAAAAGGTATTTAATGAAAGCTGGGAAAAGAAGTCAGGAAAGGAGATATTACCTGTGGGGCTGTCTGTCTTATGAATTAATTCATGCAGCAAACCAACACACCTCCCCGAGGAAGGAGTGCATATCATGTTTTAGAACAAGAAGGTAATGTCAGTGCTTGGAGACTAATGAGCCAAAGAGGAGGAGTGGAGGGAGAGGAGGTAGACAGACAGTAGTGAGCTCAGATTAGCGTAGAAAGGAGTGATCCTTGGGGACACTCTACCCTAATTGCTGTGTTAAGAGGAAATTGGAAGAAAAGTGTAGAAATCATATATTTGTCTGCAATGTTTTTGGGGTTGGTGTTGTTAGTGCACGCTGCACTTCTGGGACATTTTACATTTTCATCTCTACTGCACTGTGCCGTGGAAGAGCGGAACATAGTCCCCCTCTCCAGTGGGGTTTTAGTCTGTGTTATCCCACTTCTTGCTGTTTCTCTCATGTTCTCCTTCTCAGCCTATAGCAGTCACTCCTGCTTTTCCTGCCTGGTTTTATAAAGTTGGAAAGTTGTATTTCTTAATAGTTATCTTAAAATGCATATTAACATTTGTGTTTGCACACTTCCTGTGTGTTACAGTTAAGCCTAAGGAAGAACCACACAGAAGTTTTTAATGCATTGCATCGCAGTTCTTCTGGCATTGAGAAGTGTGGTCAGTGGGCTACTTCTCTATTTACTGTTGACCATTCTTACACCTAACTACTGGTCTGTTTAAACAGGAAAGCCAGGAACAACATGACAGGGTGTGAGAATATGCTCCTTACCTGGTGACAGGAAATGTGAATGTGCTAAGATAGGAGGCTGAAGAGATGGCTCAGCCATTAGGACAATGTGCTATTCTTGTGAAGGACAACGTTCAGTTAGTCTCACAACCGCCTGTAAATCTAGCCAGCTCTGGTCTCCATGGGCATCCACACACGTGGCGTATACTCACATGGCGTATACATTTAAAATAACAAAATATTTCTTCTAAAAAGGTTCTATGCTCTGAGCTTGCTGATTCTGAAGGCATTAGCACCAATACTCTATTTCTTTATCTTCATTTCTTGTGTGAATGATGTTTGGACCTTTATTTTTTTTTTTTATAGTCAATACTACGTTGAAGTCCTGCTGTAAAAAAACCCATTAGATTAGCAAATAAGAAATGACTTTAGACATTAAGGTATTTATTGTTTTACTAGGCTTCCTCAAACTTTTGACAGTGTTTTTGGCACTGAAAGTTGATTGAATGGAGCACACAGGCAGACACATGCAAACATCTTTCTTGTGCCTAAACTTGAGTGGGCACCTGTCTCGCTTGCTCATCACATTAATAAAGTGCAGTTCGGTTCTGGTAGCTTCTCTTGCCATAATAATGATGCGTCCTGTGTGTTTTGAAAATTTTTCTGTCAAAAGATTTGGCAGTAGACTAGAGTTTCATTTTCCCGTCTACTTTTAATTTTCACTATCTAACAAGTGTGTAGTTGAGGGTTGTTGAATGTATTTGTGTCGCTGTGCACTGACGGCCCTCCTTAAATAGAACTTATCTCATGGACGGAGATGCTCATTCTGAAACAGTGGCTCCTAATAATCCTGTTCTGTTGTTCTCCCTCCAGAATCTGTATCGATTTGAGGGCACTGGGTTTTCAAACATCCCTCAACTTATAGATCACCACTTCTCAACAAAACAGGTCATCACCAAGAAGTCTGGGGTGGTTCTGCTGAATCCTATTCCTAAGGTATGCCGCGCGCTCCTGGTTTTTTTTTTTTTTTGTTTGTTTTTTGTTTTTTGTTTTTTTTAAAGAATGCTCATTAGCGTTTCTCACACTGAAGAAAGTTTTTAAGTTGTGTGTTAATGTCAAAGACAAATCACTTCTGTGAATACCAGTAACTCCTGGCAGAGCTGAACTCCAGACCTCCTTTAATTTTACTAAGATCCATTGCCTTCCTTCCGAGGATTTGCTAGGCTACAAATGGTCTCATTTCTTCCTTTCCCACTTCATCTTGAGATGTGAGATTCATGCTTTGAAAGGGTCTAGCAAAAGATTTGAAGATGAACACATCAAAGAACATGTCTAGCAATTAGGAGTTAAGTCAGAATTTTAGGTAGGAGTATGAGGTTTGCAGCACAGTGCAAGTTCGGGACAGCTTAAAGCTATGCTGCTCCTCTCAGAAAGCATAACTCTCCAGGCAGCCAGGTCATAGGTCACTTTAGGCCATTTTTACCCCTAAGATCTATCACAAAACAATTCTTTCATGTGCCGAGAGACGTGCGAGGTTAGGAATGGGCATGTTGGTGTGGTTCAGGTAGCACCCGAGGGACCTCGACGACAGTGCACCAGTGGTCGCGTTGAGCCTTTTAACACTTGGGTTGGGGATGGCAGGAGCCCTTTCCTTTGAGGGCTGTGCAGCATGAACAGTGGTGTCGAAATGGGAAAGATGTTACAGTTGGTAGGTGACCTGTATCATTTGATTTTTATAGATCTAAGGGCAGCTTCTAATTGAAGTGACAGTCCCAAGAATGCTGATGTAATTGGAAAAATTTAAATGTTACGGTGTTTTTCCTTGTTAGCCTAGAAAACAATGTCTGTTTAGAGTGGTCAATCTCATGACTTTATCATTAATATGTTAATAAAAAGTGACAGTGTTGCCCCTACAGTGTCGCCCTCCCCCCAATTTTCACTTCAAACTCATAACATCTAATTCCAGTTTGTTCTTCCCTCCCTACACTCAGCTTCCCAGAACCCACAAGCCTGAAGTTACCTTTAACGTCTCCTCTATACCCCAGCTTCTCCAGTTAGATGACAAGTTCTGTGTTCTTAATTATACACTTGATAGTGTGAACTTCAGTCCCAGTATATCCTATTATGAATCAACCTCAATTTAGTAACATACAGTTACCCATGTCACGTTAACACAAAATAAACCTCTTTTACATATCTTGATTCTTAGCTTCACAAACCAACTGAATATTTGCACAATCTGTAGGCTTAGTCAGAACCATGTTAGAGATCAAATTCATGATAGAAATTAACTTGCAGATCTGGACCTGAGGAGGAATATATAATTTCAAATAAAATTACACCCCTCACTGTATAAAAATTTCCATGAAATGAACTTAGGTAATGGATTAGGTTCTCTAGAATGTTACATGGTCAATTATTATTTTTCTGTCAGATCTCTAATACTTTGGGGTATTTTATAGCAGTGGCTTTGCAAATAAGTGACTGCTGGAGGCCGTAGAAGGTTAAGGAGCTATATATGATTGTTTTATGAGGTAAAAACCTAAAGCGTATCCACCCATTAACCTGATATAAAGGCCTAGTATTTGAAATATGCACATTAGTATCTGTTTATTGTAAACATTGGTACACACTTGGTTCAAAAAATCATGTTACTCTTTTTAAAGATAATTGTAATACAGAGGTTATGAAGGACAATTTTCAATTCTGAGTAGAGAACAAATTGATATGGATTTTGTTGTGGTGGTATCATTACCATATATCTTCCTTTGAAAAGTTATTTGTATTCTTATTACTGAATCTATTTCTTGATTTAAATTGTGTAAGAAGTTAATATATTTGACCATATAATATGTCACCTAAAATTAGATATAAAATATCTAAGTTTCATCTTTGTAGACTTTATTTTTAGCCTACATAGAGAATGTTATTTTGCTTTAGGAGCAATTTTTGTTTCCCATTCTCTTATTCATGAAAATATAATTTTATTACTGTAATGCCTACAGTAACTAAAATAGTTTTCAATCTTTACTCTTTGTATTTACTCACAAGTGCAGGGAAACTAGACAACCAGAATGGGGGAATTGCCTGATTTTTACAGCTTAATAATGCTATTACTGAATGGGTGCCTTAACCATCTGCTCCTCGCCTGCTGACTGTTTTTTCCTGTACTGCCTCACAGACCCTGTGTGAGAATTTAGGACAGGGGAAGTATTGTTCTAAATAGGACTATTTGATCACCTGTAATTGTTATCTTAAAGCAGCAAACCTGGTGGGCTTCCATGGCCTGTTCTTTCTTAGTTTAGTTGCTGCTCATGATAACTTCATGCACGAGCCCTTCCCTATCGTGTGTAAACAGTATATTCTCATGGTCCCTCATTCCTTTTCTTATTTCTTATTGGTTAATTTCTAATGGTTTGGTATATGCTCCTTTATATGACATCATGCATTTTAAATTTTTTCTCTACCTCAAGTGCAGTGCAAGTTCTATAAAGCCAACATTTGTAGAGGAGTTTCTGAACAGCCTTATTAAATAAGAAACACAGAGCCAAATACAGAGGTAATAGCCAAAGAGATCATAGAACTAGCGAAGAGCCACGACTACCTTATCTTACCACCTCACCGCCATAGCTTCCCCAGAGAGAGCTTCTTCCTGTGTAACCTGTGTTTTCATTGCCTTTCTCTTCTGCTTTCTCATTGGCTCTCAGCCCAGCCACATGACTTCCTTGTCACTGCCTGTCTATACAGACCTCCAGGTCTCTATGGTTGGTACTGGGATTAAAGGTTCTTGTCACCACACTTGGCTGTGTCTTTTACCACACAGAGACTCTGCCTGCCATGTGATCGAATTAAGGGTGTGTGCTACCACCGCCGGACTTCTGCTTGTGGCTCGCTATTTGACCTCTGATCTCCAGGCAAACTTTATTTAATAACATACAGATAAAATCATATTTCAGCACAATTAAATATCCCCACATTTCCCCCTTTTATTCTAATAAAAAGAAAAAAGTTATAACTAATATAAGAAAAACTATATACAATAATTACAATAACTATATACAATATATGCAAGCAATAAATACCTCAACAATGTCTAGTCTATTTGTATTTGACAGACTCAGAGAAAATATTCCATTATCTATTCTACTTTGGTAAGTAATGTACCTGAATCGCTTTCTATCCTAACTTATATTAGTAACAGAGAACTATCGTATACTGTCTTTCAAATTTATGCACTTACACCTCTTTAGTGAGTTTCTTTTCTGAAATTCTTAACAAGGAAAACTATAACTATCTAATCTTCAACTAACTATAACTATCTAATCTTTAACTCACTATAACTATAACCATAACTATCTAATCTTCAACTCCCTCAGAGACCCAAGAAGGAAAAAATGTTACCTAATAAAACAGGAAGTGTAAACAAGCGACTTCCAAAAAAATGTGAGTTGACAGAAATAGCCAGCTGCCTGGACAATTACCTGAGGTTTTTCTGCAACGTTGGGGCATCATCTTCAGTCTATAGGCTTAGTGTATCTGACAGACTCATTTGTGAAGTAGGATGTATACAAGGCCTACAGTTGGACCTCATATTCAGTGCGAGTTGTCTATGTACCAGGTAAACCTGAATTTCACTAGTGTCCTGTCATGATTCAGGATTTTAAATTCTGGAAATTGATGTTTTTGGAATTCAGCTGTCTATTCTTCTGGGCTTGTGGGTGGCTTCATCTCTTTTATTAAATACCAGTCTATCATTGAGAGGTTAGACTCCGTCAGTCTAGTTACTCCTCCAAGAACAACTGTTTCAGCTACTGTTCCACTGCACACCAGAAGCCATCGGTCCACTGCCTCTTCAGCTGCCTTCAAAGAAAGGGGCACTGTACCTTTTCTGGATTGCAAAGGCCACTTCAGTGATGGTACCATATTGTCCTGGCCTCAAAGGATGCCTGTTGCTAAAGCCACAACCACACTTGTCTTAGCAAGAATCGGTAGTCCTTTGTTTTGTGTCCTGTCTGTCCATTTTGTTCTGTTTGTCAGCAGTTGATTCGAGGACACTTTGTTGTCCAGTGGCTAACTTTTGCCACAATAAAAGTTAACTCCATATGCAGTTTCTTCAATGCCCATATCTTCTCTGAAGTTGATTGGTGCTGCCAGGAGCTGACATGTCTCAGTCATAAAAAAAGAAAAAAATTCTAAGTTATTGAAACATTTTAAATGCCACATTCTGTAGATCTATGAAAGGTTGGAAGATGACTTGTCTCTCTAAAATATATCTGCTCAACCTTGAAAACATACCTAATATGACTACAAGGTCGATTGTAAATGGCTAACTACTAACTTTCATTTCTTCATATCCTAATAGTTGGTAATAATATCATTCAAAGATTAGCAAATTGCATTACATTATTAAATGAACTGTATAAGTACAATATCTTGAAGAAGATTAGAAATATACATATAGCATTTTCTAACAATCTCAATATATATAATTTGTATACAATATACAAAAATATCCAATCCAATGTAAAGTATTTAAAACTAGTAATTGTCTTTTAAAAGTAGATTCAGTAATCTATCTTTTTCTCTATATCATATCTATATCTTCTCTTTACTTTTCAGAGTAGATTCAGGAATCTACCCTCTATTCTATCATTTCTATATATCTTTTTTTTTTTTTCAAAGAGGAACCTTAAATCTAATCTCCTTTGCTTAGCCCCTTTCCTAACCATTAACAACAACAACTTGTAACCAACCCTCCTAAGCAATGAAAATTATCCCGAACCCAAAACCCATTGAAAGACCAAAGACCACCCATCTCCCTCCACCTTTTTGGGAATGTGGGCATTGTGTTTTTAAAATTGCTTCCTGCTGGTTGTAGGCAAAAGCATCTTTAGAGGATTCTGAAAGCAAAAATTTTGGGTTAATTGTCAAGTTCTAGGAAAGGTAGCTATATCATTTGTTGGCCAGTCTCTGCATAATGCCAAAGTTCTTATCTC